TGCAAATTGTAAAAGAGGTCGGTCGATGCGTTCGACCACTGTTAATTCTTGTATGGTATTGAATGTTCGCCTGCACTTATTACCAGCCAGAGGTAGTATATACGTAGTTAAATTTTCAAAACGTCCTAAAACGCGTTCAAAATGGAATTTAATTGGTGTGGGAAATTGTTCCAAGCTCACAGGCATCGAAATGGACCATATTTTGGCGTGGAAGGACGAGAAGATATCCAATCGTGAGTTTGGACGTCGACTTAAACTACCTGAGTAATAGTGCGTTCGTATCTGAAGTCCCCGGATATCTACGGTACGATGAAATGATCAGGAAGACGTGTCAAGTTGACGAAGCGCGACATACATCGCATTTACCGCAACACAAGCGTCCGAAAGTTGTCAGCAGCGCAAAGCCAAGACACTATCGGTGCGGGTAACTCCCCGCACTGTGTTTAACATGCTGAAATCGTGCCAGTTCATTCAATACGCGAAAATGAAGCCGGCGCCGTATCTGAAGCCGAATCACAAGAAGACGCGTCGTGCTTTCGTTCCAAAGCACACGGTGAAGTTGGATTTTTGGCGTCAAGTTGTCTTCTCGGACTAAAGAAAGCTCAACTTGGATGGCCCAGATATATACTGCGCATACTGGCGTGACCTCATTGGTGACGAAAAAGTGTTCTCGAAGCGGGTCAGCGGTGGAGGCAGCGATAAGGTCTGTCGTGCCGTGAGCCTGAGCAGGAAGTCTGATATATATATCGCATTCCTTGACGGACGACAAAGCTCGGGGACGAATTGCAAGACGCTGGAGACGTATCTGTTCCCGGTTTTGGACGAAGTGCAAGCGTGCCTCAAAGACCAGCTTGCTGTTTTCCAACAAGACAATGTATCTATCCACGCTTCCAGGGAGACAAAAAAGTTCCTTGAATACTTGGGCGTCTTCCTCGTGGACTGGTCTAGCAAGAGCCCTGATTTGAACATTATGAAAACTTTTGGGATATTCTAGCTCGCCATGTTTACGAGAGTGGGTGATACAGTCTGATGCGAAACGTTAAGACATACCACGTTTCGTTGCAGAACTCATGATTTATTCGGAGTTATAAACTCCTGAAAGTATCGTTTTTTCGTGCTACAATCAGGAATGTATCAATCCAATTGTGTAGAATTCCGCATACAGATTCAGAAGAAAATGCAAAAATACTTGTTTTGAACATGTGCTAAACAATAGGACACATTTGAAAATTCCCGCCCATGATCGATTTCAAGGACTACACGTGGCCCAAAACATTCTCTAGACTTCATTTAACAAGTGACAGCCTCGGGAGCTGATCTACACAGCCGCATGGGACGCTCGTCTCAGCTGACAGAGTTCGAGCGTGGCCAAATTGATGTGTGCGTCGAGTTTGGGCTCAGCCTGAACCAGACTCCCCAGTTCGTGAAACGGAGCCGCCACGCTGTGCAAAACTACCTTGCGGACCCCATGTTGTACGGCCAACGCTTCAGAGGAGACCGCCATTCAAAGTTGAGCCAAAGAGACGAGCGCCGAATTGTTCTTGCCATGGCAAAAGATCCCAAAAGTTGCGCAAAAGTTAAGCATGACCTTGAACTCCACGTCCACCGTACGACCATATCAAGGCTAATGAACTCGTCAAAAAAGTTCGACTACATCAAGATGAACAAAATACCCAAGCTCACAGAAACACACATGGAGAACCGTTGTCGTTGGTCCGAAAAGCACGTAGACTTGGGGTGGCAAGGGTGGGCCGAAATTTTGTTTTCCGATGAAAAAAGTGGAACCTGGATGGCCCCGACGGCCTAAAGTACTATTGGCACTGTGTTGGGCGCGAAAAGAAGACTGTATTTAGCCGACAAAATGGTGGAGGCTCCGTGATGGTCTGGGGTGCAATCTGGGCGGACGGCAAGAGCAAGCTTGCCTTTCTCGAGGGGGCGCCAGAATTCCGGCGACTACATCGATACACTGTCCAACTACATGCTTCCATCGGCTCACGAGCGTTTTGGCTACGACTTCGTTTTTCAACATGACAATGCTTCGATTCACGCGTCGAAAGAAACCAAGGCGGTTCTTGTCGACAACGACATCAGGGTCTTGGACTGGCCTGCACTGTCTCCAGACCTCGACCCCATTGAGAATCTGCACTGTCTCCAGACCTCAACCCCATTGAGAATGTCTGGGGATACCTTGTCCAGAAGGTGTACGCGAATGGGAAACAATACAACTCAACGCATGAGTTAAAAGAAGCAATTTTGTTTCATTGGAACTCTTTTTCACCTTGCTACCTCGAAGGGCTCGTTCGAAGCATGAAAACCCGCTGCATTGGTGTTTTGAAGTCCTCAGGAAAGCCCATTAATTACTAATACAATTGCTTTTGTTCTTGTATTGCTTCATTTGTGCATTTTTAAGAGATTCGAGCAACCTGTCCTATCGTTTTGCACACTGATCATTTTGATTGTCATGCAATCCTGACCCAATTCGGCCGTGATTTGCTCTCAATTCATGTCAACTGCATTCAGAAGACTATTACGATCATGTTGGTATGTTTGTGCTGAAAAACTCGCAAAATTGACTGAGGTATCGGCCTAAAGGTGGGTTGTCCGAACATTTTGCATCAGACTGTACTTTGACAATGTGTCTGATTTGAATCGACAAATTTCTTTGTCGTGGAAACTCATAGGTATTGACTACTTGAAGACGTTGTTGACAGCACGCCTACGCGTTTGGCTCAAGTTGTTTTGAAAAATGGCGGTAGTATCGACTATTAGCGTAGTGCGCATATAAATATTTCGCGAAATATATTCCGCGATTTCTAGTATTATCCCTTTTAAGATAGGTTTAGATATTTTTCACGTACACCACACTGCAAACTCTCTTTTACGACGCAGGGCACGTTCAGATCAAAGCAATTGTCAGGACTTCGCCGCAATATCAAGATTTTCATGTGCGCATATAATTATTTCGCGCACTGTATGGTCTGAATCTAATATCATTAACTTTTAGGATAGGTTTAGATTTCTTGCTCTTACACCACACTGTAAACTCTTCAGAACGTAGGCATGAACAGATCAAAGCAACTGTCAGCACTCTCTGCAAAACCAAAATTCTCGCGTACGCAAATAAATACTTCGCGCACTGTATCAGAGAATCCGACAGAGTTGCGATTCAGTGGAAAAGAAGAAATACCTGATTTTTTTGCAGGTTTCGGACGACCTTTGTCGATTATCCAAAACAAGTCATCAATTGCCGTTTCGTTGTAGGAAATTGACACCTACCTGTACTGTATCGTCGTCGCCCTTGGCGCAGATGGAGCAGCGACGAACTTTGTGTAGGTCGACGGCCGGACAGAGGGTAACAGGCAGCAAGCGTTAGAAAATGCCTCAGGACCAAGGAGGCAAATCGAGAAGTGAATTCATATGGTTGTAAACACTT